AAACTTTTAAAGTGGCCAGTATATCTGATCTTATACAACTACAATGGAAATCTTATTTTATTTTTAAATATTTTTAAATTTTTTATTTATTTATTTTTTAATTTAGAAGCTTTTTTAAACTTTTTTTGATTATTTATTCTGTCAATTGATTCAAGCATTGTCTCCAACTTTACACAAGTGTTACAATTTCAGGTACAGTAAATTAGACAGTTAAATGTGTGTTAAATATGACTTATGTATAAGATTTGTAGCTGACAAACAAGAAGTGGAGTTAATGAGAAGTGTTATAATAAAATATATGACATCTCTGGGTTACTTTGACTCTTCCACTTTTCCGATAAGGATTCTAGTTATAAACTTCCACTATTAAAGATACGGAATGTAAACAGATGGTTTTGCCATAGAAAATTGTAGAAAATTTCTTCTTGAATAAAGATCTACATTTCTTACTTTCACCAAATTTCCATATCAAGAAAAATCATATATTATTGAAGGATAAATAAAGACATACTGAGTATTTTGTCTGCTCCTCAACAAACTGCTCTTGCGCAGTGCATAATCATTGGTGGGTATTGCGCAAAGAGAAAATATTTAGATTATTTTGTGCAAACTGCACCACCTATGGCTTCAAAAAACTCATTATGTGCAGGAAAATTCTCCCCCAAAAAATACATCATCCTGAGTGTGGCCTCAGTGGTTATGACAGTTTTACAAATGCATCACAAAACATCTTGCTGAATTCCAATTTGGTCATATTGCTAATTTGCCATGTTCAGCCACCTAGCAAGTTGCAAGTGTTCTGCCATTCCAGTGCTGGTGATGAAAATATACTTATTCAAAGTTATGATTGGTAAAAGTCCCATTTATGATTTACTTCATCAGTGTTGCATGAAATGCTGCAGTACTGTATTCAAATCAGCCTTAACTTGCTGCTTGTCAATGCAAACTTCAATAAACTGGTTAGAACTATGATTTACATGGTTTGATAAGCATATAATAACTACAGGACCATTTTAATGTTGTTAGAGATATACAGTTTAGTCCTATTTATAAAATGAATTATTTCTATTAAAGGCTGGTGGCACAGGACATGAAAATCTGAAAAATTTGACAGTTTTTTATTTAAATTGTGGGTAAGTACAATGGTTTCAAGGGTTAATTTTAATAATTAAGTGCTGCCGTTAACCATCTTGCTTCTTTTTACCAAAAAATTGGGCAAGAGAGCTACAAAAAAATGAGTTTCCACAAGCATTGATGGTTGTGTGGTGAATGGCTGACTTCTTCCCAATTTTAAAGTTTGGATTGCGGTAATGATTAAAATTTAGATTAGAATATTGCAGCTCCAAAAATCCTAAGTCACACTTTCTTGTTAAATTTGAAATTATTACCCATTACCTACTGCAAGGATGGCATGTCTGTGGCTACTTTTGTTTTGTATTGTCTCTCTTGTTGTTCAAAAAAGTCCAGAATTTTTTTCAGTGAAACAAGGTTTCTTTCTTGTTAAACAATGTTTGCATAATCCTTAAATTACAAGAGACTAAATTATTCTAGCTGTCGTTGTTAGTTGCATGGAGAAACTCAGGCACAGAGAGGGAGCGGGCCAAGAGGTGGGTGCTGAAGGGCAGCCGCTAGAGGAGGAGTTTGGCGAATAATAGGATAGAGGTCTTGAAGGCTGCACTCAAAAAAAGCTGCACTTGGGGAGCGCCTCACCATGAATATGTTGGACGCCAGGTGGCTGCAACAGCCAGACCACAGCTGCCCAGTCAATCAGGTCTTGGGCGGATCGATGAAGAAATTAATGCAGATTCTTGCTCGATCGACATGGGCAAACCTCCATTTGGAGTGGGCAACGGAGAGGGCAATGTCGCGGGGCGCAACGACGATTATTGAGGAATTTTCTATGCAGATTCGGCGAAGATCGAAATCGTCAGGTAAATAGAGGAATAGCCACATTTGTGGTGGAACTGTTTAAAGATTATTCATTTATATATATTTTAGAGGAATGAACGCAGTTTCTATTCAATCGATAAAATAATATTACTCGTATTGTAAAGGAGACAAGCACCATTTCTCTTGCCACTTTTTATTGTTTTCGGGCAATCGAAATGCCGTTACTTCTATATTTCTTAAATTTATTTCCAAGTAAGTTCTCTAGTTTATATAAATTTTGTATTAGAGCTGATTAATTTACATCGAAATTTATTTCTCAATTATTTATTCTCTCAAATCAGCCTCGTTGAAAAACTGATGCAAATTTGTCATGATTAATAGAACACGCTAGAGCAGCTGTAAGAAAATGTTTTGAATATGAACTTTGAAGAAGTTTATGATGGGATCTTTTTAAATAAAAATATTGTTAAGCTTTGAAGCAGTTTAATTATACGACTGTTAGTCGATAGCAGGAGATTTATATCATGCATGTAAAAAACGTTTTCTTTACACTCACGTTAGAAAAAAAATTTAAGGCAAACTAATCTATATCTCCTGAACATTATCAAGGTCAAGGTAACATTAAGGCTTAAACGTTCCTCTTTTCGGAAGCGTTCAAACTTGGAAAGCTAGTAAAACACTTACGTATTTCAAAGTATTAAAATAATTACGTGGTATAATAATCGTAACTGACATCAGAAATCTACCCGACATAGCGCATTCTATCTGTTGAACTAGATTGAACGCAATTTTGAATAAAATTTTAACTGGGTAATCATAAAGTAAAGTGCATATCAATTTCCAATCAATTATTCTATTAGATTGAATAGCCAACCGACATGTTTTCGCTTGAATTTTTCAATTTGCTCTGTAAAGTTACCCACACTCAGATACTTCGATCTGCAACGATAAACCCACAGTCGATAGTTCGCCATGCATCTGCATAGATTATTCAAGAAAATTCGACTTCTAAATCTTTGAGTGGTCGGATCACCCGCGATATGCAGTAACCCACACTAATTGACATCGTTGCCCACATTGGTGATTGACTGGGTGAGCCAGTGCAAAGCGGTAGGGGAGAAGGAGTAAGGCTTCTCCATGGGCAATGGGTGGAGGTGGGGCGGCCAGAACCCTGTTCTTGGGAGTCTATGCAGTGTGGAAGAAGGGTGCACCTGGCCTCCTCATAAGAAGAGCCCGCTGTTAGACAGCCGTCCACAATTCGTGTGCCACGAGATGACCGAAGCGGGACTGCTAGGTGGCCTTCATGAGTCTTACCCTGAGAGAAGCAGAGATACGCGGGAAAAAAGGATTGTGTGTATGAAGCGCGTTCCCCCGAAACTGTGAGCAAGATTGTTCCAGGGAGCGGCTATGGGAAGGACCCCTGTTTCGGTGTGCTGGCAGTCAATTGCAGTCATCTTGAGGCAGCCGGTGGCGAGGCTTGAGGCAGAGTTCTGCATGACCTGTAGGCTGACAACGGCAAAACGAGAAGCAAGGGGATAACAAATTGAAGCAGCATAGTCGGGTGATGGATTTATAGATGACGATGATGACTTTCTATGAGGAACCCAAGCTGATGCCGACTGGGCCTCCAGAATGTGTAGCGTGCTGGCTGCTTTGGAGACGATTTTCCTGACGTGGGGAGACAAGATGAAATGCGTATCCCATGTGGCTCCAGGGTTTTTGGTGTCATGTCCAGTGGGATGCTACAATCAGTGTGAACTGTGGAATGATGCGTATCAGTTATGAAGAGTGAAACAATGGACACATCTTGGGCGATTGTCAGTCTTTTGGCTGGGGCCAGGCAGAGACACCGGACAGCAGCACCGATCTGCTTTCGTTGCTGTCCAGATCCTCTAGCCAATGGGAAACGTTGAATATGGTGAGATCATTGGCGTAGGAGGCTCTGTTGGAGGACGAACTAGGGAGTCCGAGATTAAGTGGTTGAAGAGGGCGGGGAAAGATCACGGACCTTTGAGGAACTCCGGTTTGTATGCTGCTGAGATGGGATTGAGATCGAAAGTAGAGACAGGACGCCAGCCTGCTTCTGAGGTAGAACCCCCTCAGGGGGGACTACTCACGCGTGTCTGTGCTCGTCAGAAGTCCTATGGGATTTCGCGCTCCTAGGGGGATTGTTCCTGAGCGCTCCACCGCTGAGCTCGCGGTGTCTGACTGCAGATTGCAGTTGTGGGGTTAAGTTGTTATGTAGGTAGGATTCCTTACATTTCCCTTCTCTGTCTCTCTCGTGCGGGCGGCCGACGTCACGTTCGTCTCTTCGAGATGCTAACGCTGCTTCCCTCGAGCCAGTTTCAACGGGCTGGACATCTGAGACCTTCCACCCCTTGTGGGTGATGACCAATTTTTGATTCGAGTAATTTTTGATAATGTAGACCTTCCACCTCTTTGGTGATGTTCAACATGACTTTCGGTGCAAGATAGCTAAATAGCTAAAGCGCTAGTAAACATGTGGCCACTAAACTAAACTAACTTCTGAGATAGGAAGCCAACGGACCGGGTTGTCGCGTACTAGTATAGATACAGCAATCGTGGATAGGAGAAGTGAATGGTCGACACAGTCGAAAGCTTTCAACAGTGTTAAAGTCATACGGGGCAATATTTTAAATCCCTAACATAGCTAACTTAACATCATTTGAACTTGTGATTAAAGTAACTTGAATTTTAAGCTTTGATTGATTTACTTGATTTTGGCTCAGTAACACATCAATGTGTTAATATTTGGCTCTTGATTTGCAAATGTGTGTCAACGTCCACAATGTTTAGTTGGTGAAAACAAACCTAAAAATTTCTAATTGGTTTATTGTCTTGTATATATTTATAGCTCAATAATTCATTATCAATAAATAATAATCTGTTTCTGTGTTTAATTTTTAAGTGGCAGCCTGGCCATCATAAGAGACAATCAATCTGAGCAGCACAATGTTCTATTTGCGAGCAAACTTGATTTCTTCAACTTTGTGAGCATGCAAGAGAAACCTTCTTTGTTCTTATTGTATTTCGATTATCAGTGCTGTTGAAAATTTAAAAATATCTTTATTTTTCCCTCACATGTTTCTAGGTACCGATTGATATTCTTTTTTATTTATTGTAGTTTTTATTCTGAAATTAAAGGCTCTTTAGTTTCAATTTGCAAGTGAGATATGTTTAATTTTAGATTGTCAGAGAATGGTAAGTGTCAACCCTTACAGATTTTCTCCCGATGATGTACTCGTACAATGCCCGAAAATTCTGGAGGATAAATATTCTACTCCTTCAGTGATAGTTTTATTTACTTCAACTGATTCAAAGAAGAACTCTAAAATGCCCTCGTGGACACAGACACGGACGTTCTTCATCGGCATATTCGCTGGATTCTTCATAAGTTTTTTGATAAAAAAAAGCATCTTCGGCTCCTTCAGTTTTTGTATCCGTACAGAAAACAATGTCCGTATTGTTGAAGATCCTTTCGATATAGTTGGTGCTGACCGAGGAATGTTCCCTCACAACAGCGATAAAAATCTTGTTTTTATTGGTGTGATGACGGCTCAACAATATCTGGACACACGAGCTGTAGCAGCTTATGAAACCTACGCCAAGCAAATACCTGGCAAGATTGCTTTCTTCACTTCAGAGTCTTCGGTGACTAGCAGCAATATTCCCGTGGTTAGGCTCAAAGGCGTCGATGATACCTACCCACCTCAAAAGAAGTCTTTCATGATGATCAAGTATATGCACGATCATTTCTTAAACCATTTTGAGTTCTTCATGCGAGCGGACGACGATGTATTTATCCGTCCCGATTTGCTGGAAAATTTTCTACGTTCTGTGAACAGCTCGAAACATCAATTCATCGGTCAGGCTGGCAGAGGGAACAGTGAAGAATTCGGACGTTTGTCGCTACTGGATTATGAAAACTTTTGCATGGGAGGTCCCGGAGTTATTCTTAGCCAGGCAACCCTGGCGGTAGTGGCCCCCCATGTCGGGGACTGTCTTCGGAACGTCCACACCACCCACGAGGACGTCGAACTTGGGCGCTGTGTGCAGAGATACGCTGGCGTCTCGTGCACGTGGTCTTATGAGGTGAGTTCGTATGTTGCTTTTCTTATTGTGAATTAAACGTAAATGTATGCTTATTTTGGTAGCAAGAACATGTTGGCTTCTGTCAAAAGCTGCTTGACTACAAATGGTATAATAAAATTAAGTGATATAACGTCAAATTTGTATTTATATATTCAGAATGGTCCAATAGTAGGGAACCTTTTTTCAGAATTCATAATCCAAAAATAGCCCATGATAAGGCTTTAGACCAAGCTCAACAATCAAAAGAGAAAGAAGTCCTTGAACGGAAATGATAAATGCAATTGTTATGCACAGTTTAATTTTTCCTTACATTGATTTCTCGTTTATATCTCGCTCTTACTGCTTTGGTAATCGCATGATCAGCAGTGACTTCAAATGCCTACGTATTTTAAAAGGGCTTCAGCTACAATTGTGAAGTTATTAATAACCATGGATGTTATTGTTAAATAATCAAACTGAGATATTGTATCCCAGCTTGAATGTACTGTACGACTGCTTACTCTAATCTGTATTAATCTTCAACATCTTTTGTTTAGTGTCCATCAAATGCCTCCAAATTTTATAATTATTGGTAGAAATATTTCAATGATGAGTTGTACTTTTTGTCAACGCAATGTGCAAGAAATAAAATTTAAATTTGCTTACATATTTCCGTGAAACTTATCTAACGCAATTACTCTGATTATACATTGCATTTTTCATTGCATTCTCAATATCTCCACTCTATTCCGAGCTACCAAATCCATCGACTTCCCATAGCCAGATTTTTTCTTTTGAGCAAAACCGCTATTACGGTCTTGACGGATATTTTTGAACGAGGAATTTTCGCCGGTATATGGAAATGCATTTTAGGATATCAATTATTGAATTCTGATGAAAATCGCTCTGACACATGCCAGTCGATACCGTAAATTCGGTTTTGATAAAAAAATGACGCGCGTTTGCAGATGCAGCGAATCTTGTACCACGACCGGAGCCAGGACTCGTTCGGTGGCAAGCTCAAGCAGCCTGAGCTGCACCGCGCCATTACCTTGCACCCTGTTAAGAACCACACCTTCATGTACCGTCTGCATCATTACTTCCAGGTACCGCTATCTCATGTTCATCTAATTATCTGATGTTATGTCTGCATCATTACTTCCAGGTACCGCAAGTTTCATGTTCATCTAATTATCTTATGTTATGTCGTCTGCATCATTACTTCCAGGTACCACAAGTCTCATGTTCGTCCAATTATCTGATGTTACGTTGTTACACTTGAGTTATCTAATTTAACGTCTATTTTATCACGTATTCATAAGTATTGCTATTTTTAATATTTAATTCATAAATACACATATTTACTCCATAATTTGCATTTTTGATAGTTGATGATTCTAATACGTTTTTCATGGTAACGCTAGTCTTTCGCCACTTTTTGTCTAGGTTCAATAAAATTTGAATAGCGACTGTAACTATGTTGTTTGAGATGGACGCGAGGCATAATGATCAAAGTTTGTCGAACTTTTTTGTACTTCATTAAGATTTAGTTCAATATCTGGGACAAGGTATCTAAGCTACTTTTAACCTCACTGATAACGTTTGCGGTTCAAAGGCACGGAAGTCGAAAGAAGCCGACTCAATTTACGACTTCCTTTATGTTAATTTCCAGTGAAACCTTCAACAAAAAGTCAATGCAAATTTTAATGTTTTGTTTTAGCGCTATCATATTGAATGTAAAGATTTTTTCACTAAAATAATATCCAAAAAATTACCACTCATTATTCAGAAAATACTTTTAAAAATTGTATGTAACATCGCAGATGCTCAAAAATTTTAATCTCGAATGTCATGATAAAAACGTGCCGGAATACCGCAGACGCTGCAGGTGGTGTCGCTGGAGACGAAGCTGCTGCAGCTGGTGCGGGAGCTGGGAGCGCTGCACCGCAACACTGCAGCAGCCAGCCACCCGTTGCGCCTCCCTAACTTGGATGACGCGCGTCACGGGGTGTTCCTCTCACACTTGGGTGTGTTGCTGCTCACGACGAGTGTTGATAACCTTACGCTAGTTGATAACGGGACAATAGACGATACCGCGACACTGGGAACTAGCAACTAATTATATAATGTCTTCCAATGTTATAAAAGAAAGTGGTGACTCTCGCTTTTAACGTTTCATTGGGTAACCGCGATAACGTTTCATTGGGTGACCGCGATAACGTTTCATTGGGTGACCGCGATAACGTTTCATTGGGTGACCACGATAACGTTTCATTGGGTGACCACGATAACGATTCATTGGGTGCCGATGATAACGTTTCATTAGGTAACGACGTGTCTCTTATACACATCTAGNCACGATAACGATTCATTGGGTGCCGATGATAACGTTTCATTAGGTAACGACGATACTGTAACGTTTCATTGGGTGACCACGATAACGTTTCATTGGGTGACCATGATAACGTTTCATTGGGTGACGATGATAACATTTCATTAGGTGATGACAATAACGTTTCATTAGGTTACCACGATAAAGTTTCATTGGGTGACCATGATAACATTTTGATGGGTGACTACAATAACGTTTCATTGAGTGACCATGATAACGTTTCTTTGGGTGACCACGATAACGTTTCACTGGGTGACCACGGTAAAGTTTCATTGGGTGACCACGATAATGTTTCACTGGTGACCACGATAACGTTTCATTGGGTGACCATGATAACGATTCATTGGGTGCCGATGATAACGTTTCATTAGGTGCCGATGATAACGTTTCATTAGGTAACGACAATACCGTAACGTTTCATTGGGTAACCACGATAACGTTCCATTGGGTGACCAAGATAACATTTTATTGGGTGACCACGATAACGTTTCATTGGGTGACCAAAATAACATTTCATTGTGTGACGGCGATAACGTTTCATTAGTTTACCACAATAAAGTTTCACGTTGTAACGAGCAGGTCGTGAGGCGAGCCTGCAGGCTGGTGCAGGTCGTCACGAGACGACGGTGCAGGCATACCAGCTCGTGAGCAAGCTGCTCTTCTCCCTGGACACAGCCAACCCCAAGCAGCGCCTGCCTTCTTACTTCAACGAGTCCCTGGCCGACGTCATCGCCTACACCATGCATACCATCAACCTGTGAGTGGTGTGCATACCATCAACCTGTGAGTGGTGTGCATACCATCAACCTGTGAGTGGTGTGCTTACCATCAACCTGTGAGTGGCGTGCATACCATCAACCTGTGAGTGGTGTGCATGCCACCAACCTGAGGTCAATAGGCCCATTATGCAAGTATGTCATCGATCCATCTTATATATTTTTTACCATCAACTCTTTTCACCACAAACTATCTTACTACCGTCAATCTGAGAGTGCATATGTGAATAATAGAGTAGAAAAGTTGTGGATTCTTTACATTATTATTGTGTATGGTACGTTTTTTCGTTATTGATCTTGATGTTGAGTTATTAACTGATTTGTAAGTAATTTGTTGGCTTGTAACAGGGCGAGTAGCAAGCGGGGGCGGGAGCTGGAGTACCGTAACCTGCTGTACAGCTACGTGCGGCACGCCCCCGGCACCGGCATGCAGCTCGTGCTCGACCTCCTGCTGCTCTACAAGCGCTTCAGGGGCAACAAGATGACCATTCCTGTCAGGCGGCATGGATACTTCCAGGTGCTGTGTCAATCCTGTCAGGCTGCATGGATACTTCCAGGTGCTGTGTCATTCCTGTCAGGTGCCATGGATACTTCCAGGTGCTGTGTCATTCCTGTCAGGTGCCATGGATACTTCCAGGTGCTGTGTCATTCCTGTCAGGTGCCATGGATACTTCCAGGTGCTGTGTCATTCCTGTCAGGTGCCATGGATACTTCCAGGTGCCGTGTCATTCCTGTCAGGCGCCATGGATACTTCCAGGTGCTGTGTCATTCCTGTCAGGCGCCATGGATACTTCCAGGTGCTGTGTCATTCCTGTCAGGCGCCATGGATACTTCCAGGTGCTGTGTCATTCCTGTCAGGCGCCATGGATACTTCCAGGTGCTGTGTCATTCCTGGCACTGATAAACTTTCAGTTTTGTATACATATTTTTTAAAGGCTTTTATGTGTACCTATGTATATTTCTGCTTCAGTATCTTAGCTACTAGTATATGCATAACCAACTGCAGATATTAATTCCATCTAGAAACAACACATCAATTTTATATCAAAGCAGTGAACAATTTGATTACGGGCTCGATGATTGCTAGCAATTATTGGGGATGGATTTATTAATATTTTTTTTATGTTTGCAGGTTCCTTTCGGGCCGCTTTATGTGCGGGAGTTGCCCGTGCCTACGAAAGACGTTGCTGTTGACCACGTAAGATGTTCTTCAATATTTTGTATAGTATATAGGCGTAATTTAGGCAGGTATTTTGTTATGGGAATTGTGTCCTTTTCAATGAAGGGGGCGAAAATTAGGTTCATTACGTGGTGGAAGGTTCTTTTCATTACCAATTCTTTCTAATTTAAATAATCTTGAAGTGGAATTAGGTGTTTTAAAGATAAAAATTTTGTGAAATTCCTTAATTGATTATTCCTGGGACGTTCCTTCTCGCTGATAATCATTTCACTAGCGGGCAAAAAACGCGAATCATTTCTGGTTTTAAATCACTTTTTAAACTAAGTTCGTTAAATCCCCTATTATACACCCATTATATATTTTCGTTTGATTGCTTCCTTATTTTCAAAGTATAAGAATTCAATTTGAATTTAATGCATGTTACAGGTGGCTTATTTATTTATTTAATTACGAGCAGATTCCTCAGCCTGCGGCTGTGGTGCATTTCTTATTGCCGCTGGCTGGTCGAATAGAAACATTAACTCGCTTCCTGGGTAAGTCTCTACCTGGCATACGTCTCCCTCTGGTTGATCAAGCATTCATTTGGTTCAACATCTATAAAATATCTAGTAATTGTATGTAGCAAGGAATTTTCTAGTTTGTTAGTATGATGAAGACTTTAAAACGCAACTTGGGTAGGTCTCAACACCATTTTTAGCGCATTTTCTCATTTATGGAAAAAATGCACTATTGTGCTCACCATGTCCGTCCGTGACTTCACGTTTTCGTCGACGAGAAAATGCGCTCTCTGTCACTCATTGCAATGAGTACTGAGTTAGATTTTTTATTTTGTGAACTCGTTATCACTTAAGATATTTGTTGAGCAGCAAACTACGAGCGCGTCGTGCTCATGCAGCATGAGCGCGCCACGTTGACCATCATCCTGTACCGAGAAGAGCAGCGGCGCAGTGACACACCCTCCCTCGACCACGGCCAGGCCGCCACTGACGCGGAGAGCGACGTGCAGTCGAGGGTCAGGCGTCTCACCCTCAAATACCCCGCGGCCCTCATCAGCATCGTCCATGTGTGTATTATTAATGTTATATATCCTCACTATCAACTGACATCATTATATGATTTCAGTTGATATTATTTATTTTATATATAATAAATAATAACATACGGATGTATAGTTTTTTCAGGTATTGGTGTTATTGATTCTTATTTGAGGATATTAAGTTTAGATTCTAAGTTTAGTACATTTTTATTTACTATTATATTTATTTGCTGTAGTATTTATCGTCAATTATGCACCATGTTTTTCATGAATTGTTTTTGTCACTCTCCCAATTTATTTATTTATTTTATTCATTTTTGCCTCTCCCAAAATTCAATTATAAAGAGGCTTTTGATATTAGCAATAATATGAATAATACATTGAAATATTGTGTCAGGGTGAAGGGGAGTTCCAGAGGGCACAGGCCCTGCAGCTGGGGGCGCAGCAGTGGCCGGCGCAGGACGCTCTGCTCTTCTGTGTTGACGTCGACATGTCCTTCACTAGCGACCTCCTGCCCAGACTGCGACTGCACACCAAGCTTAACGCGCAGGTGACTGGTCTTGCTTTATGTTCTGTTTGTGTACTGATGGCAAAAGAAATGCGCAGTGTTGCTTGTAGTTTGCTATCAAAATTTATTTCCTGATGAGAGTGTGTTTGTCTTAATAGTTCTCCTCCTATTTACTTTACGCAATCGCGAACTAACTTTAACGCCCCAGTCTCATGTTTGTGTCTTGACGACAAATGGAATGCACAGCGTTGCTTGTGGGTTGAACTTCCAAACTGTATTCTCTAATTGTAATAGGTTCGTGCAAATATTTCTCCCCATTTACACTAGTTGACACATTATTCCTTCTGCTGGCAGGTGTATTTCCCGATTGTGTTCAGCGAATTCGACCCGAGTGTTGCGGGGGCGCCGCCCCACGACGAACGCGGCCACACCGTCGTGAGTCTTGCGTTATTTTGGAGCTAAAATGGCCCGTACATTTATTGTTACCAACAAGTTCACGTTGCTTCATCCTTTCTTTCAAGAAGACTTTGATATACATTTGCTCGTTTCGGTTGTGCAAAAAATGTGCCTCTGCCATTTGTGAGTAATTACAAAATCATCATTCAATTTTATTCATTTCAAGTTTATACCTTATTTTTTACATTATGCTACTCCTCTAGAAAGTCCAAGAAATTACTTCCAAATAGCTACTTTTCTCTAAAATTTAAAATTTTATTCGTGTTGTGGTAAAAGAGGTAATTATAAGCCACTATTTAACACTACAGGTCACTGAAGAGAGCGGATATTTCCGTAGCTTCGGTTTTGGCATCATGAGCGTCTACCAGAGCGACCTGATGGCGGTGGGCGGCTTCAACACCAGCATACGAGGCTGGGGCGGGGAAGATGTCGACCTCTACGAAAAGGTAAAATGCCAAGTTCTTTGAGGCCTTCGACAAAGAACACCAAAAGAACTTGAAGCGAATTGAAATGGTTATGATTACGGTATGTGTTATGTGTGGCGTTTGTGGCAAATGGGACTGATGATTATAAGAAACGCGTCATTAGCTCATTTTTCCAAACCGGGACCTTATTTGTAAACCATCAACTACTTCACGAGGTTGAGCTAAGGAAACATCATCTTAATCTTTCCACAATAATTCGCGACGAATCATTAATGCGCGGTGTAAATTGTATGCCTCTAGTCAGAGGTTTTAAGATACATAATGTTGAGCAATCCTTAAAACTGCTACCATTACTACCAACACCAGTTCTAGTATTACTCATGTATCAGATCAGGGCTTACTGTGTTTTAAACTTTGGTGTACGGTTACTTTAACCGGCATCAATGCATAAAAGCCCAGGGTAGAGAGGTCCCGTTAGTACGCGAAGGGTTAAGACTCCTTACTAGTACCATGTCTGGAACCCATTCTTTCTTTACAAGAACTGCTACCTTCACCTCATTTCCATGCGCGCAGTTCGTGGCAAGCAAGAACCTGCGCGTGTTCCGGAGCAGCGAGCCTGCGCTGGTGCACGTCTACCACCCGCCAGCCTGCGACTACCGGCCTGTCAAAGACAACTCTGCCAGTAATGAATCGCCTTCGCTGTCAGATGACAGGCTTAAGAAAACTGCACTCAGGTGAGGAGCAACCAGAGGTTTTACAATTTATTATGGAGAAAAAAAATTATTGAGGAAATGATAGCTTCTGACCGTTTGAGGTTGCCATAATTTGTATAATAGAAACTGATTTCGTAGGCATCTGGATAAATTTTATCTCAAAACTTCAGTGTTGAATGGTGATATGTGAATAGTTTCCCTCCCCCCCCCCCCCAAAAAAACTACTGTAGGCAACACCCCAGATTTATATCCGGCCGCTTTCTCATCAAGGAAACGTCTAATATGTGATTACCGCGACAAAAAAGACGTACACTTGTGATCGTATTATGATTAACTGAATTAGCATAACACTAATAATTTACAACAATCCGGGCAGTGCGGGGACGCAGGAGAGCCAGTGGAGCATGTGCGCAGGGTCGGTGTACAGCACACACGCCTCCAAGCGCGTCCTGTCAAGACGGCTGCTCGACGACCCGTCCGTGCTGCGCTACTTTGCTGCTCGTCGCCGGCCGCTCACTTGACACATTATTGGCCTAATGTGTGTGATTTATCTTCTATTTCCTCGTCACTTTGATTGTCTAGTTTTGGGCTGTTCTTCTTTATTTTTCCTGTTTTCACACCGGGCTATTCATAATCAAGTCGTTCATTCTGGTCGTAAATTCCATTGATTTTATTCTAATTTGAGTCGCCATATCGTTAGCTTTATTACATATTGTATTATTTGGTCGTGAATTTCAGTTTGTGTTGCATGAATTTAATTTTATGTTGCATGAATTTCATATTGTGTTTTCTCTGTATCAAACAGCAAAGCTAATTTCTGCCGTCATTGTTGGTGCCAAACAAACTTATCTACTTCAGCTATAACGTGTTCTTGCTGTTCTATGCGCAGCTCGAATCCCGTGTGTGTGTTAGGAGCTTTGTTTACTCAGAACTTGATTGTTGACTTCCAACAAACTAGGCAAATACTCATTTTTCCCCCGTTACTGTCTGCACTAGAGTGCGCTCAATACAAGGGATGTTTTCTGTTTTTTTTTTTATTATTTTACGATTTCTGTGTACGTTTCATAAGATACTGTACTAGATTTCTTTTCTTGTGATAGCTATGCTCTCTTATTAATTCTTACTGTACGTACTTATCATTGTGACCGAATTTATGTGTGTGGTTTCTCTGTTGCCAGTACACCGTTCCTGATATCCTTTTACAATGAAGTTCAATATATTGATAAGGCAAACTTAGGAAGTCTTACGAACAACCACAAACTTAATTTTACTACATACTAGTGTATTGAATAGTACCCGATTATGCATAACTATAGCTATTTACACTCTATGAGTTTGGAATAATTTTTAGAGATATTCCGCATGTGTGCTGATGTTTTTTCATCTTTCTAGTCTCTCGTGAAATCTACTATATATTCTCAGCCAGGTTCTTGTAACGATAGTAACGTAATCGTTGTCGTTAACCAAAATTGAATCTCAGAAAGCATGAGTGTTGAACTAATTATTAGTGTGCTTTCATACTCTATTTAACGTACAAGACCTTGTCATATTCCCCCATGGTGTGTTGCTCCAGTTGACCTTGTTTTATAATAGCTTTTAATTAATATAAACTCAACAGTCTGTGATGCAGAATACTTGAAGACAACGTATTATTTGATCTACGTAACTTTTTATGAAGCACTAAGATTTGATACTTATGATTTCAGAACAGTTTAAACATTTATGTTGAAATGCGTATACTTAGTCGAAACTCTGTAGTTACTACATCCAGCAATAATTATGAACTATTTTAGATGTAATTTATTGTATTAAGTATTTGTAGTTGTGTTGTCCTAGATCTGTTTTCCTTAAGCCTAGATAGAAGACCGAATTCCCGTTGCCTCGCAGCTATTTTCGATGTGCTGTAACTGCAATGTTTCCAACTGCGATTGATACTTTTCCAATCCTACATTATGAACTTTTATGTGATGGTTTTTCCTTATAGTTTATCGTGCATTAACCTTTTAGTGTCGTGAAACTCAGTATTTCTTTCCCTGTTCACAAAGTATTATTCGAACCAAAGTTTTGTGCTTCCAAGTTTTTTTTGTGAATGTGCGCTTCAGTTCAGTGGTTCCCAACCTGCACTACCCGTGCCTTTCGTTGCACGAAAGAGCTTACACGTGGTGCGCTAACACTCGTGCTGTAAATTTTTAGTTAGTCTATTACTTTGGACAATAATGTTTACTGCCTAACAAACGATGATCTGACAACTATTTGCCACTGATACAAGATGCCATCTACCTTGTCATATCAGCCCGCCGTTGAACTCACACAGCACACTTAATTGTTGCACTAATTACGAGCGCAATAAATGAGATCAATGCAACTAATACCGCATATTAACGGCTAGTATGTTGATAGTGGTATATGCCTGGCGACAGTAGGCACTTCTAAGTGACACTCGCATACAAAAGAATTGGGAACCACTGCCCTAGGTTACTTTTAAGCACATTGCAACATTAAGCTCGTCTTCAGTATTAGAGATAACAATCTTCCTCTTTCTATCCACATGCTCAACCTTGAGTGCCTTCTATATGTACTTTTATACGTTTTTATATGATAATGATTTAGTGGTTCTAAGAAAAGGAGAGGTAGAGTAATTTTTTGCCGAACTGTGCAGAAAACTTTTTTTTTTAATTATACCTTAAGCGAATGAAAACTAGAAGATCGACTATGTTACAGCTGCTATGGACGGGATAATTATATACCTAGTCATCCTCCTATGTCATTGACCGATTATTGACAGTTCTAATAACTCGACATGCAATTCCCAGCATTGCTAAATCTAGTTCAACCCTCAATTGACAGGAATCAGGTGTTCCAGCAATGCATGAAGCACTAGGAACTAAGACTACTTTTCTTGTTTTCGGTGTGTTGTCTTCTGCCGGATGTCCGGCATTGAAATACTCTTTCCTGCATAGCAATAAATAATCATACATGATTGAAGGCCAAATTTGTTTTAAGACGCAACTTGAATATCGCCAGAGACGATGTGTTCCTCAGGGCCACGCTGGCCTAGAATTGATCAATAGTGATAACTTAGTTTGTTAATTAAGACTCTTTTTTGCATCAGTATTTTATAGAATTTAATGGACTTTAACATTTAATTAATATCCAAGTGATTACTGATCTCTGTAGCTAGATCTCACAGCTCTACATGTCATACCAGTAACGTATTGTTTGGCCTTTAAATTTAATACACTGTCATGATAATTGTTCTGAATTAATTACTCGCTTAACTTACGTGTCAAGATAATGAAGTTCAGATTTTTTTAGCCATGAAATAAATCCACAGTAGGATCTCTAGGCAATGCATCATCTTGTGTATGTCAACTTATGGTGGGAGTTAATTTGAATCATAGCTTGTCATTTTGCGACGAAGTATTGTACTGCTAAATTCGGTACAACCTGTACATGTAGGAATCGATGTCGAACACAAGAAAATGGTTGATTTTACTTCATGTCTAAAATGAATTTTTATCAAGTCCATCAACTTGAAGTCCCACATGGGTGAGGAATAAGCATAATAAAGAATAAGCTTTTTTACGTTGTACTCATTGGCCCTTAAATTTTGGTAAATCGACTGAGAAAAATTTTATGGAACACACAAAATGCAATCCAAACTGGAGGCCTAAGAAAATTTTGTTCACATTCAACTACATTTGTCCTCGTAATCGTTTGTCAACCCGAGATTCCTCTTCAACTATCCAAGAGAGAATGCATTTAGTTTATTATCGCTGGTCCAAATTTTGTATTTTATAACCGAGCATTTTGAGAGGAGCTTTTCTCGCGCAGCACCGATATCATATTCGTACATCATTACCAGCAGCGAATAACAGATAAGAATATTACAACATATTTAAAGAAAGTTTATATTTGGACAATTGATAATTTCAAGTAAATGGCAATTTTTACAACTTGTACAGCTCCATTCAACACGTCTTTGAAGTCGTTCCTTTTTTCGTAGCCTCTTAAACTGTTAGTAAATTTCCTTTCGAAATTTCCATCCGAGGGCAAATTTCCAAAGACTTCATCGCATGCTGAGCTTCTTTTCGAAATCAATGACTTGCTTGACGTGCGCCCTGGCGATCTTCTCGAGATTCCTGCTAGTGGAGCCGCGGCCTATCACGTCGCAGGCGAAGGGCTTACTCACCGCGAACAGCTTCTTGAAACAAACTTTGAAGAGCTTATCGTTCATTTTCACGCCTTCCTCCTCGAGTGCAGTGAGAACGGCACCTCGTAATTTCTGCAAAAGTATTCATTTATGAAGACATAGAAATTCCAAGTCCTCGTTCACTTCACTTGAACTCATTACTCGATATTTCTGACATTTTATGAGGTTATCGGACAGACACGAAGCAAAACAATCGCCAAATCAAGCCGCCACCGTGAACAATTCGTTCTAGTAAAAGCCTTTATTAGTAACTCTTGAACTTTTCTCTTATCTATCTGTAATTAGGCAATAGCAATAGACGATTATGACGATAACTTCTACTTGGCCAAATCTTAACTGCGATCAACGAAGAAACATGTCGCAGTTATAAAAACGCTAATAATTTAAAAGCAAAGAAAACGCCAAGTAAATTCACCATATCTTCATGAGGACGTTTTGCAGACCAACTACGTCATCAACTCTAAAAAATTCTAGGGAATTAAAATACTTTCGCGGTTAAAAATCAAATATTCACGAAACTCAACAAAAGTACTCACCTGTTTGTGCACGTCACTGAGCTCCGTGTCATTGCTCTGCCTCTTCGTGAGCGCCGTCCCTCGTCTGGCCAAGCACGTCGCCCGGCCAGCCGCGCCCAGCGTCTTGGGCGCCAGCAGGTTCGACCGGCCAGGGGCGCCAGGCGGCTTGGGCGCCAGCAGGTCAGATGGTCGCAGGGCGGCGCGTGTCTTGGGCGCCAGCAGGTCTGATGGCTTCACGTGGTCGCTGGTCACCGACGACGCGTCGCACGCGATTTTCCTGGACAGCCTGCGTGGAGATCTGCTCAGGAATCACGTTTTTTTTAGACGAGAGCTGAAGCGAAAGTGTTCATTTTCATTAATTACAGGACCCTTCATTATCCGAGAGGACCTGAAGCCAGGCTCTCATCAATGATTGTAATTTCAATTGTCAATTTCATAAACCTATAATTATTCATGTTTTCAATCATAGCGCTCGAATCCATACTCCCAGTCAGCGTGAGACTTGCGAACGCCGGGAGTTTTTAACACGTTAAGTGCGGCTATGTCGTATTCAGGGCGTATTTTTTACCAGTGAAACCGCGCTAAATGTGTTAAGATGCAGCGGTACCTCAAATTACGAAACAAGATCAAATGACAGCTGAACAAATTCCGCCTTTGATAAAAGTAATATACCTGTATAAAAAACGTACCCTTATCTGAAAAACTACAGTAAAAACTTCAGATCTAAGTCAAATGCTCACAATTCAACTGGTTTTAAAACGCTTCAAAAAATTGGTTCAACGAGGTGACTAAAGTCATGCATACCTGCGCAGAGCAACAGCTGCAGCACGTCTGACGCTGGAGGCGGCACTGCGCACACTGACGGCATCGACGTCGACGAGGTTGTAGTTCCTCGCGCCGGCGCGAGTTTTGTGAGCAGCCTCGTCGTGACTGCGTGACGGCATATTTAGACATAATTAAACTATCCTTACAAGTAAAATAAAGGATTGTCGTTGAATATATGAAATAGATGCAGGAATCCAGCAAATCGTTGATAACAGCTACCTTAGGTAGCTGTTATCAGGTCTAGGTAACCTAGAACTACTGAAAATTCTCAAATACAAAGCCTTGAAGGTTAAGTATTTCAATACATTATCCGACGCAGATCATAGCAAGTGCAATGTGCTCTTCGATCTTAGATGATTAGCAAATGCTTGAATGATGACTGAAACATAGACGGCATTTAACTACGATAAAATTAAAGACTTTTAATAACTAATCCCAACAAAAAGTTTTACGCGAGAGCTGATCACAAGTTTTACGTGAGAGCTAATCACAAGTTTCTAATCCCAAGAAGAAGTTTTACGAGAGAATTTTTACGTAGAAATATCTATTCAATGAATATATTGCATGGCACGATTGACTGACGCAGCTGACCGGTGTTGAGCAGCGTTGCTCAGCCCACAGAGCTGCTCAGGGTGGAAGAAAGGAGAGCACACGCTGACGGTGTCGTGCCTGATGCAGCGCTCACGCAGCCTGTTGCACTCCCGCTCGAACCTGGCGGGGTGACGGGGGTGTTAG